CTGTGTTTACTATAGGTATAGGACCGCCGCCTAAATCTCCTTACGGTTTGCCATCGATGAAGAACTTGGCGTACGAATCAATTCGCAAAATAACCGACTTGAGAGCGGCCGCCGGTATCTCACATCTATCCATATTTGGTACCGAACTCGACACTTACGACCCAAGAGTACAGACTGTGGACGACGATTGTAATAATGCTTTCAGAGGTGATGCCTCTTCGGCAACAGTTGGCGTTATGGCTCGGAGTCGTATTGACACAAATCACTTAATAATGAGTCCAATTAAAAGACAAAAAGCCTTTCTATTGAGTGACAATGAGGTGTCAAACGGCCATTCGTTGGATATATTGTCAACTATAATGTCTTCACAAACTTTATTGCACTCTTCGTCGAGAGATGTGCACATCGGAAGAGATGGTTCACTCCATCGCCTCAATCGTCAAAATTCATCGCCACTTCCGGTGCGAAACTGTGCTAACGGTAGCGGTCAGTCATCGCCGGCTAGAAGTCCGTCACAGTCCGGTGGCTCAGCTCCGGCCACAACTAATACATCTCCCGCTCACTCGGCATTGGGTTCACCGCAGCGGACAGACAGTGCCAATACTGGACCTAATAGTAGTTATAACTACTCATTCGGTGAAACTAATAGACCAGATGTTAATGTGAGTGGAACTACAGGTGTCGATGATTATTGCGAGGATATCGGCGCCATAAAGCCGGTGCCCATTAAGAACACATCTGTAGTCCAGTCAATGACGGCCACTGACACGGAAGGGGAAGACTCCAAACTGGAGCTCTATAGTGATATCGAGTCCATCGGAGACACAAACAATCGTGAAGGAGAGACAGACAGCGATTGCGGTCCCACTGGAGATGACACCAAACTGCTCGTCATTGATGACCAAATGTCTCAACAACCAGTGCTCTGCGCTTCCAATCCACAAACCAATGGTTTGATTCAATATTGAATTTTGCATTTTTTATAATTGATTTTATATTTCTAAAGAGTCTAAAGATTGTGATCAACAGATGGTTAAAACTAGCGGTCAGTCACTGACTTCGACACATGAGTGGCAATCGAATGACTTGATGTCATCGTCTCAACAGATACCGAGTGTGGGCGACATTACTACTGATAAATGCAAATCCAACCAATCATTGAGCAAATTAGCAGAAAAGGCAACTCTGAAAACGGGCAAAACGGGTCACAAACAGTATTTAGTGGACTCAAAAAGCGGGCGAAGGCCTTCTATCAAAGACTTATTCGGCGACTCGGATGACGACAGTGACGACGACAGTGACATTCGGCGCCTACTCGCAGAACAGGGAAGCATTAATGTTCACTATCCGCTCAAAATACCCATTCTTCTCAAGCATAGTGTGGCCAAAAGTGACACTATTAGCGAATCTGCAAATGCAAGCGTTGCCAATACAAATGAAACACGCGATCCCCTCTACAATACACCAATAGTAGATCTTAATAAATGGATCGCTGTTACGCCTGTCGACACTACCGACGCCGCTCTCATCACAACTACAACAACAAACGCTATTAATAAATGGAAACCTATAGAAGGTGTGAACGCAAACCAATCTGTTTGTGCGATACCCGTCACCGATGCCGTCACCGATGCCGTCACCGATGCCGTCACCGATGCCGTCACCGATGCCGTCACCGATGCACCGGTCGCTGAGTTGGATGATCGGAGTGAGACAGTGATGATCGGCGATACTTCAGGCAATGTCGATGACATTAGTGAAGAACAAGAGATAATGGATACACA